TGTTTATTATTGATTGTTATTTATTATTACGAGTTTCTTGCGATATATTGCTTTTATGTTATTGTGTTTGTCACTTCAAGCCCAATAAATGATATCAAAGCTTGGTTATTTTAATATATTGATACATAAACAATTCAGAATAGAAATAAATTTTATTGAGATCATGGAGAGTGATATAGGTTCCATAATAAAATTAACAGTATCAAATTATTCAATTTGAAAGCCTATGATGAAAGATAATTTATACTATAAAGATTTGTATGAGTCAATATTAGATGATTTAGCTAAGCTAATAGATATGAAAGATGAAAGCTAAAAGAAAGTAAACAGGAAGACACAGGCCACAATAAGAAAATGGGTTGATATCAGTATTTTTCATTATATAGTAGAGGAGACAGATGTCCACACCATTTGAAAAAAATTAGTAATGTTATATGAGAGAAAAACAGGCATAAATAAAGTTATATTTGTTAAAAAGATTGCAACTTTATAATATAGGGATAGACGATCGATTACAAAGCACTTGAGTGATTTTCAATATAGATTCAATCGGACGACTACTATGGAGCTTAAGATGGATGATGAAATAAAGGCATCATTTTTTTTTTTTTGGATTCATTGCCAAACAGCTGAAATACTTTAGTTGTGACTGTTCTTAATTTAGCTTTTAATTATAAGGTAACATTAAAGATGGTAAAAGATAGTATGCTTGATGAAGAAGGAAGGTAAAAAGATTCAAACTCTGAGAATCAAGCTCTTGTCACAAAGAACAGGGATAAAAACATCAATAGAGGTTGAAACTTAAAAGATCGTAATAAGTTTAGACATAAATCCAAGTCCAGAGATAAAGTGAAGTGTTACCATTGTGGTAAACATGATTATGTAAAGCAAAACTATAAAATCTTGAAGCAAGAACGAAAATATATTATAGGTTGATGACAAATGTTAGAGTTCAGTTGATGACAATATTGCAATAGTGAATTTAGATAGTGATTCAATTACTTTGATTTATACACATGACGATTGTAATCATATAAGTAATTCTGGTATTAAGAGGGTAGTTGACACATGAGCGACATATCAATGTGTTCATAAGAGGGAGTTGTTTACAACTTTTAAAGTAAGAGATTTTGGTTGCATCAATATAGAAAACAAGATTGTGTTACAGATTGTTGAGATTTGTTATATTGTTGTACAAACTAGTACGGGTTGTATATTGACTTTAAAAGATGTTAGACATATTTCAGATATGAGAATAAACTTATTTGTGATTAATGTCCTTAATAAAGATATGAGAGTCGATAAAACAATAGGTAATGAAAGCTTCTCAAAGGATCTATGATAGTGGTAATAAAAAAATTATGCTACACAATATACAAAATATTGATGTAATTGAAAGGCAATAAGATAAATACCGTTGATGATGATGTCAAATATATGGCATAAAAGGCTGGCACACATAAGTGATAAGGGATTATAGGTTTTGGCAAGCCAATCTCTTATTTTTTTAATAAAAGGTATATTTCTAGATTCATATAATCATTGTTTGTATGATAAGCATCGTAAAGTTTTTTTTTGTAAATATTCTCAGATAAAAGAAAATATATTAGAATTAATTTATTTTGAAGTATGTGGTCTTATTAAGGTTGAACCATTGGATGACAGCAAATATTTTATTACTTTTATTTATGATGCTTTACATAAAACTTGGGTATATATATTGAAAAACAAAAGCTAGGTGCTGTAATATTTTTAAAAATTTAATGCCATGATGAAAAAGATGACAGGGTTACTCTTGAAGTCTATTCAGACTAATAATGGTAGGGAAGACACGTCTAAAAACTTTGAAGAATATTGTTTAAAGCATGAAATCAGGCATGAGATGACAGAATTTGGAACACCATAACATAATGGTGTACCTTAAAGGATGAACTGCACTATTATAAAAAAAGTTAAATGTATGCTGAGAATGACAAAATTACTAAAGCTATTCTAGGGTGAAATAGTCAACAAAGCTTGTTATTTACTTAACAGATCACTGTTAGTTCTTTTAGGTGTTGACATTTTAGAAATAGTGTAGACAGAAAAAGATGCTTCATACTCTCACTTAAAAATTTTTGGGTGTAAAGTATTCATGCATATGTCAAAGAAACAGATGTTAAAACTTGATAGTAAAGCTACACAGTGTGTGTTTGTCAAATATAGTGATAAAAAATTTAGTTACAGGGTATAAGATCTAGTGAAAAAAAAGATAATTAGAAGTAGAGATGTAATCTTTCACGAAAAAGAAACCATAGTAAGCATTGAGAAAAATGAGAAAACTATATAGATTATTATTGAGTATAATGTTTCAACATCGATAAAGGTTCCATAATAAAGAGCCATTGATGGTGAAAATAAGCAAGAGACAGAACTTGAAGATACAAATAAGTCAACCATGGTTAGTGATAAGTTAGATGTAATCAGTTTTAAATAAAAGAAACAATATTTTCTACCTGAAAATGTTGAGCAGGGTGAGCAGTCTTTTCTATTAGAAAGTGTTGAGCATAGAAAACTATCTTCGGTATTAAGTAGTGTAGAGTTTCAGCTTAAAAGATCTACTAGAGAGTACAAACCATCTAATAAGTATCTAAGTTTAGATTTTATTTTAGTTACTAGTAAAAAGAGCCAAAAAATTTTCAAGATATATGACTACTCTAGATAGGGAACACTAATTAAAAGAAATGAAAGAAGAAGTAGAGTCATTGCGAAAAAATGGTACATATGATCTTATTAACTTTTTGAAAAGGAGGAGACCATTGAAAAATAAGTAGATGTTCAAGTTAAAAAAAGATGGCAATAAACTAGTGAGGTATAAAGGTTGATTGGTGGTGAAAGATTTTTTTCAAAAACTCAACATTGATTTTGATGAGATATTCTCTTCAATTGTGAATATGAGTTCTATTTGAGTGATACTAGGATTAGTAGCTAGTTTGAATATTAAGCTTGAGTAACTTGATGTTAAGATTGCATTATTACATGGTGACTTACAATAAGATATTTATATGGATCAACCTGATATATTTAAAGTGAAAGGGAAAGAATATTTAGTTTGCAAAATGAAAAAAAAGCTTGTATAGCTTGAAACAAGCTTCACAGCAATGGTACAATGAGTTTGATTTTTTTATGGTGGGTCACGACTATAAAATAGCGGCAGCAGATCTTTATATATATGTTAAAAATTTTTTTATGGTAACTTTATTATTTTTTTATTATATGTTGATAATATGTTGATTGTAGTACAAGATGTTGGTATAATTTACAAGTTGAAAGAACAATTTTTTAAGTTGTTTGACATAAAAGATTTAGGTCTAACAAAATAGATTCTTAGTATGGATATTATCCTAGATAGGAGAGCTAAAAAATTATGGTTGTCACAAGAAAAGTATATTGAATGGGCATTTAGTAGATTTAACATATAATATGCTAAATTAATTAGTAGTTTACTTGTCAATCATTTTCATTTGAATAAGAAATCTTGTTCAAAAGAAAGAGCAACTAGCTATGTTTAGATGCACTGAGAAACAGTGAAATAGTTTTTAGATATTTGAGAGGCACCTTGAAGATGTGTTTGAGTTATGAAATATACAACCAATTCTAAAAAGGTTTACTAATACTGGCATAGCATGTGATTTTAATGATAACTTCAAGGTATTTGTTAACTTTTGTAGGAAGAACTATGTTTTGACAGTTTAAATTATAGAAGTGTGTTGCTTTGTCAAATACAGAGGTCGAGTATATTTTAGCAATCGAAATAGGTAAATAAATGCTTTGGATGAAATATTTTCTTCTTGAATTGAGATTAAATCAGAATAAGTATGTGGTATTTTGTGATAGCTAGAATGCTTTAGATTTCAGTAAAAATATCATGTACCATGCTAAAATAAAACACATTAATGTTAGATATCTCTAGCTACATTTGATGATTGAAGAACATTAGATGTAGTTAAAAAAAGTTTATATTGATGAAAATGCAGTAAATATATTGACTAAGACACTTCTTAAGAAAAATTTTAAGTTCTGTAGTAACTTGGTCATAATGGGTTCCTTGGTCAAGGTAAGTTCCAAATGAGTACTATAGTGATGAATCTCTTCTTAATAGAGCTAGAGGGAGAGATTGTTTGAAAAATAGGGTCAGCTCTATTGTTTCCACCAATTAAAAGGCCCAAAGCCTTTTAACTTAACGTGAAATAAAAGCCCTAAATAATAAAGAAGTTTAGAGCTATTTTTGGTAATTAAGGAGTGGCACTGAAAAGGGAAAAAGAAAAATTAGAAAAGATAGAGAGAAAATGAAGAGATGAGAGTTATTAGTTGAACGGAAGTCGATTCGTAGTCCGATTGAGCTAAAATTTTATAAGCAAGTTCATGATTTAGTGTTTTACATTCTGAACAGTAGAGATCAAGTTTGAAGCTCTCTAGGAACAAGTTCATGGTGCATTTGTTGAATCACCTAGTTAGTAAGATTTCTCCAAATTGTCATTTTAGTTATTGATCAGCTCTAGTTTTAGTTAAATGAGAACTTTGTATATTCATTATTTGATAATTGAGATTTTTCTGATGGTTCATAGTTTTTTTCTTTATACTTAAGGGTTTTTCATGTAAATCTTAGTGTGTTTTATTTTTCTTGCTTTGTTGATTGTTGATTTTTATCTATTACTATGAGTTTATTGCGATATATTGCATATAAGTTATTATATTTGTTGCTTCAAGCCCAACAGTTTGAATATCTTTTTTTTTTTTTTAAAGTGTCGAATTATGCATGTATATTTGAACAGTTCGGGCATCGTTTTTCTTTCATTATTAATGAAAGAAAAAATTGTACGAGGATAGAGATCAGAGGGAGGTTGAAAATGTTGTTACGCATCAAAACATATCTTTTTTTTTTCCTTTCTTTCATATTAGAAAAGCCAATATTTTCTGGAAATATCATGATTATAGGTTGAAGTTAAAGCCTTCAGGTATAGACTATGGAGGGAGGGCAGCTAGAATCATATCCTAATTGAGGCTGCAAATTCGAGCAAACAAAGCAACATGCAGAATATTGGTAGCTAATTGGTAAAAGGATCTTGTCAATGGCGATGGATTTACTCCATATCTCTTATACTAAAACTCGGGTCGCTTTTACCAAAAGAAGCAATAATATGTATTTGAGGGCCTAGTTTATGCTATGATCAGGAAGAGACGCAGCACATGATCTCAGCTGCAGCTTGTTTGAACATTTCTTCCACTTGAAATGCCGCTGACAGCTGATTGGAAGCTCCACTTGCCTGGACAATACACCCAACACAGAATTGGTGTAAGATACAAATGCAAAGTTGGTGCTAAAAAGAATTTAATTTAATCAGTAAAAAGGCTTTGATTGAGCTTTCTGATCTATATTATCAATTTTAATATATAAACAATATTGACAAGAATTTTGAGGGATTTCCACCGACAAGAATGTCTAAAATTAGTTCTATAGAATGGTTTTCATTTAGCATGTCTAAAAGACAATAATCTTCTTGCTGTGGTGAACAAGAATGCTGGAAGTGGCAAATTATAAGTAAAAAATTATATAGATAATTTGAGGCAGAGATCAGAGAAGTACAAACTTACATGCGCTTGAATCATGAACATGCTTTGATTAGAATCTGACGAAACATGCGCAGATATCACCTCTATTTTGTGCTTCTCCAAAATATAGCAAATAGTGGTGAACAGCCCTGGCTTCTTTGGTGAGCACACGCTTATTTGTGCTTCGTTACCGCATAAGTTCAACACAACGTTGGAAGAAGTCCATGTTTGAAATAGTACAGGGAATTGAGAGACCAAAAGAGAATTCGAAAAAATGGTTGGGTCACTAGAAGATACTTGATCAGCCAAGAATGCCTCCCTGCATAAATCAAAAGCTTGCTTTTGGTTGTTCATCATGGAGGAGGGCTCATAACCAACATGATTGGAACCTTGGAGCCTCTCTAGCTTTTGTTTTCGTAGCTTTTGGAGAGTTTGTTGTAGGGTTTCGATATAGTTTACTGCTTCATCAACTATGGTGGATTTGTCAGCCTGTGTAAATTAAATTCGATGGAGTTAGCCCAATCTTCATCGGGTGCCAACTTTTCATATCATGATTAAGATTGGTTTATTATATAGGCAAGTAACTAGACCATGAATGATCTCCCTGGTTCAGAAAAAACCGTCAACCAAAACCGGGATTTGGAAAATTATGCAGATTATGACAACTCAGTTACAATAAATAGTTAAATACATTTCCATCTTAAGTCATAAACAAATAAAGGAAGAAATCTGACTACTCATTGAAGCATTTTCTATAACCGAAACTATAAGTGACACGATTTTTACTTTCTTTTGACAATGACAAAAAATTGGCCTGGTTTTACCAATTTTTTTCCCTATCTCCACAGTAAGTTCTCAGAATTTGTCAAAAACTTAATAACTTCAAGAAGGAACCATTTTTTAAATTTTGATTTTTCTTGATCATGAATGAATATGTATCTTCTCATAGAAAATTCAGCCAGACCAAGAGATTATCTTCTTACTTTTTTTGAGGCCAAGCATGGTAGAAACAAAATGCAAAAGTTTTTCAAAGTTCAGAATATCAAAACGTTACCACTTTTTTATTTTCAACAGCTTGCCGTCTATTCTTAGTTTGTTTATGTTTGATAAGTAACTATCCGAAAGTTGAAGAGCAAGACCAAGATATAAGAAAGAGACTGTCACTTATATTACCTTAGGAGGAAGCTGAGGAAGCAAAGCATGAAGGTTAGAAAACATGTTTCTCATCTTCTTCCTCCTCTCTCTTTCTGTCCATATATGCATTTCATGATCATCCGATTCACCTCCTCCTCCTCCTCCTTTCCCATTCTTTTCACCCCCTCCTCCAAGTTCTCTCTTATTGTTCTTCTCAGTCTCGTCTTGTAAAGTTTCTTGCTCTTGTTGGTTTTTGCCTGATTTCTCATCACTACCAGCACCAGTACCAGTTGAATTATTATCTGAATTGGATAAGGCCCATGACTGGTTTTCCAATAATAAAAAACTTTCATGGCCGCCTTCCTCTGACATGACTGGGTATAGCTAGCTAGAAGAAAGAGAGAGAAAATAAAGAGGTGAGAAGAAGAGAAGAGAGAAGGCGTTTAAAAGGTGGCAAACAAGGCAGAGAGAGAGGGCGGGGGGGATTCTGTTTGGAGTAGGAAGAAAGGAAGGGAGGAAGAGCCGAAAATACAATCATAAGGCAATGCCGTTACTGAGAATCAAAACAAAAACGTACATATATATGATTTAGCCTAAAGCGCGTTGTAACAAATATTTTTTTTCTCTTCGTTTGAGGGTTCCACAACTCATGATGACCCCACCGTATTTTGCCATTTGCCATTTACCATTTACTATAAAGACTGATTTTTACAATTACATGGCCCCACTCTTTCTTTCACAAATTACTGTTTTTTTGTCTTCTATAGTTTTTGAAAAACATAAAGAAAAAAGGTTTTGACTTGTTTTCTGGTAATGAAGTTACTGAGTCTATATTAGGCTAAAGTTTAAAACAATATAAAAAAAAACTCATACACACAATGTATAAGAAATTAACATTGTTAGACATTCAATTACATGGAAAAAATTTAAATAAAATTTTTTATTAAAAATTATTAAAAATTAAAATTAAAAATAAAGATTGATAAATTATAAGATCTTATTATATAAATCAAGTATACAAAATGTAAAATTTTTTTTTATAAATTTTGATACATTTTTAAGATAAATATTTTTAGTAAAATTTTGACAAAATTTATGTTGTTGATAAATACTAATCAAATTTGAATTATAAACGTTATTTTTAAAATTGTAATTGTAATTAATTTATCAATTTAAATTTTTTATTAAAATTGTAATTAAATTCTTTATATTAAAAAATTTACAAACTTTATTTAAAACTTTTCACATAATTGTAGAAATATTATAATAATATTCAATCATCGACGTTCAAACATTTTAACTCAGCTCACAACTCAAAACACAAACATATATAATTAATCTTATATCAAACAAATTTATGAGCAGTACTCTCTCTAATAATCTCAGCCCAAATATTCATTTGTATAGACACTCATTTTTATATAACTCTACGTACATATATTCATATCTCATTCTATAAACACTCTTCTCAATTTATAAATTCACTAAATTGATTATTAAATAAACTTAATTATTAAGTAATATCTTTAATGGATTTTTTTGAAGTTGTTAAAATTTAAATCTTAATTATTAAAACAAAAAATTAAATACTTTATTAATACATCGTATGATTATTGATAGAATATTTTCATTCATTATATAAGATATATGATTCAAGAAAAAAGAAAGTTGTGAAACTGCTCTTATTCTTTGAAAATGAAGGAAAGCATCATATAAATTGCTCTTATATGATGGAAAGTAACAATTTTTTTAAATTAAAAAATGGATCCATGGTTTCTTCAAACAAATCACAATGAAATTAAGATTTTTTTATATTCGTTCACACGAGCATACTTTAAAAAAAAAAAAGAGATTTATTTTATATAATAATGAATTAATCCAAAATATTTCATGTTGTTGCTATCACATCTGATGATGATCTAAAAAGTAATCGATCAAAAACGACTCAAGATGTGTTACTTTGGGCTTTTTTTTTCCCTTATAAAATGGGTGAGATATGGGAGGTTTCAAATTTCAAAATTGGCCACGCAGCCTTGGGGACAGCAGTTGTATCCAAAATAAAAGAGGTCTAGTGGCAGAAAGAGTTCATTTGTGTATGTACTTCATAAAAGAGGTTGAGTGTATAACACTAATACTAATAATAATAATAATATTTTTTTTTTTTTATGAAAATAAAGAAAACGTGGATGCGTCATCACATCAAACAGCCAGAAGCCATATAGATGGCCTGAAATCCATTAAAATAGCTTAAAATTTTTGTTCTTTTGTATTTTGTCTCCGACGAAACTGAAAATATATATTCTTTATAAACAATTGAAAGGATAAAAGTATGATTGCAATAAAAATTGAAAAAATTTACAGGGACTTGTTATGGTTATAGTACTTGATAGCTTTCACTTGCATAACCCCGGCTAATGCCTAATTATATCACTAGCTTATGGAAAAAATAAAATGGCTTCAAAATATTTACAGAGGCTTGCTTATGTAATAAGGACCAAGGGGACTCGTTTGGGCAGTAAATACAGTCCAAAGCCATAAAAATGCCCAAACGCTCAAAACAATAATATACTAGCAGCACATTCATAAGTTCCAACAGAATCATTGAGAACTAATGTTGACCTTCTTAAAGCATGATAATGTCATGTCAAAAATATTAATTCAAATATGTTATCATTGTTATGCCACAAACTCATCCTGTAATTCATGGCAGTAACAACTGCTCCATGGCCTTGAAAGTTGTAGTTTCATAAGCAAGAAAGCCGGTTTAAATCACAGATATAATCCACCCTATTATTGGATCTAATGACCATGATGAGGAAAATTAAATTTCCTGGCTCTAACGATGGCCTTCGCTCTCATTTAAGCAAGCCTGTTGTCTTACAAATAGGGACATAGGTTCTTTAGCATTAACCACTGTTTGATGCAGTTAGTGTGGAAGTCATGTCCACAATCTAGTGTCCCAGTGTCATCCCCATCTGCATATTCTTCCTGCCATGGTTAAAGTTCAAAAAGGTAAACAAAACTAAACTAACAGAGCTTAATGAAGCTATTTAAAGCAGCAGATCTACTCTCGTCTTGCATCATACCTGACAGATACAACATGGTTCCAATTCCGTTGGGGATTCTGTTGCAGTGGTCGAATGCTTTCTGCCGTTCCATCAACTTCAGAATCATTTCCTCGCTCAGTCCAGTGCTCACATCTCCTATGCGTTCTTCTAATGCCAACAATTCCTAATGTTCCAATTGATATGTAAGAAGAATAACCTCCAATGTGAAGTGATAGAACATAAAGCAGCAACCCTTTTTACCTCATAAGACATGTTATCAACATCAAGACGCATATCTCTATGTCTGTCATGCATCTCAGCCATTCCATGATATATCAATGGATCAAACAGCATATAATCCTGGAAGGGCGTCATGTAAAGATCTAATATCAATACAACACCATATAATGTAGGAAAGGACTAAGAATTATTATCAGACAAAAAGCACTTCCTAGGCTTCTACCCGGGTGCTCCACTAAAAGAGTTCCTTGTCTCTCATTTGGTGGAAATCGGTTTAGAAAGTATTTAGACATGTATTCAGTATTCTGAAGGTTGCGAGCCTGTTTCTTTTCCTTTGTGGACCAAAGGGTGCGAAATCCTACTATAATTTTATCCAAGAATGCTAAGAATCAAAGATTGTGAGAAAAATTTTGCTTAAAGGATATCAAGCCATGCATGTGACATAATGGCCAAAAAAATCAAGACTAGACGATATGGAATATGAACAGAAATGTGGCTTTAAAACAAGTGAACATCACCATATCCTCACATCACAAGCATCTTCAACTGTTGAAGCAATCAAGTCAGACATCAAACAACCTCCCATGCACCAAACTATCCAATAATATGCTTTGCCTGAAAATTAACTCTGACAGATTATTCAAGACTAAGCTAGTAACATAAGTCACACAGAATTTGTTCTCAATAATGAAAACATATTCTAGAATATTGCATTTATCCCAACTAGTGAAAGGAGGCTGATAAAGGAAGAGAATGATATTGTTTCTGCTCATCAGCACTGAGCTGTCTCCAACTTCTATCATTTCCTTGAAGAGACTAGATATATTTCCACCAAAGCCACCTAAATACTTGATGCTACTAAGTTTTCAATTCAAGACTAAGCTAGTAACATAAGTCACACAGAATTTGTTCTCAATAATGAAAACATATTCTAGAATATTGCATTTATCCCAACTAGTGAAAGGAGGCTGATAAAGGAAGAGAATGATATTGTTCTGCTCATCAGCACTGAGCTGTCTCCAACTTCTTCATTTCCTTGAAGAGACTAGATATATTTCCACCAAAGCCACCTAAATACTTGATGCTACTAAGTTTTCAATCCAGTCCCAAGACAAACATTCATTTTCAAAGAAATCAAAACTCATTGAAGTGCTGCTATAGCAGTTATTTGTATTTTGAGAAAATTTTTGTATGAGAAAAATTCAATAATTGGCAAAGGATATGAAATGCATAGAAACCATATCACCTATAGATAAAACTGTTGAGTGGATAAAAGGCGAAAAGAAAAGGAATGAATCTTTTCAACTTTAGCCAGCTAAATCATTATAGCCAAAGGACAAAAATTAATCTTTACTGCAAGCTCACAACCTATTATGAAAATGTCATGGTAACATAACCATTGCATGAATAAAAACCAAACCTCAATGCGTAAGTTCTCCCCCCTATGCATGGCATTCAAGACTTGGTGAATCTGACATATGGAGAAGAAAATGAGAAGTTACTGGAAAGTTTTTCTTAAGTTCAATTCCCATTATAAAAAACCCTATAATTTTTACTGACGTATATCTTTTATCTCAAATTTAATTGGTCAACTTATGTAACAGACATTATTTTCTCAAAATTGACAAATTAATAAGCTATGAAACAACAGTATAAACAGATTATGTAATAGATATGGGTTGCATAATTAGGAATTGAGCAAAATAAAGATGATTTTGGCAGCTTTTTCTTGAAAAAAAGTTAATAACAAAGAAGAGGTAAATAGAAATCATCAACATCCAAAAAAATTGAACAGATGAAAAAAAATAATGAAAATAACCTAAGAGAAGAGAGAACTATGGAGATGGCACATTTTAGTAGAGAGAGACTAAAAAGTGGCATATGACTGGTGTAAATAACCTACACATAATCAATTTGTGATTGTGAAGAACATCAAATATGAAATACGGAGAACAAAAAGAACATTACTAATAGGTAATAGCAATTTAGAAATAAAACTGTCTTCTTAGAATTGATTTATGATTTATGTGTTTGTTTGTGTGAGTATATGAACCATGTTTGTGTGCACACAGGGGTGTAAGTTTATATGCATATAAACACAATACTATGTATAGATGCGCATCATAGGATTGGATAACTACGGTATTTCTAGAATGCGACAAATCATCATTATCTTGAAAGCCAAATGTGCTACTATTTAGTACTAAAATTAATTGAAAGCAACCCTATTTCTTAGACATATAAATGTACAGAGGCAATTAAGTTAAAAATTAGCAAAAAAAAAAAAAAAAACTGTTAGACCACAAACCTCAGATATTAGCCGGTGTCTCCCTTCAATATCAGCAGCCAATGCTCGCAATGAGTGGGCCATCCTAAGAACATCATCACCATGTCTTTCCAATTATGAATGCTGACCTTGGGTATGGTAGATTATTCCCTTGGCGGTTAGATCCAGATGGCACCACCGTCTCTTGTGGGGAAGTGGAAGGGCCTGAAGAAAATGGTGGAAAATGGCCACTGTGACCGCCAGATTCAGAATCAATTGGAGGAAATAAAGACCAAGGAGCAAATTCGGATAGTCTTTGTTGATTATGTATTGGAGGGTTGTGAGGAGGAATCCAGGCAGAAGCGGGCAAAGGATGGATGCTTGAACTAGGCCCTGGTCGATTAGATGGAATTCCTCCAGAAGTGCTAACATTTCCAGAAGCCAAACTCCAACCTGTAGGATCTTGTGCCACATTTCGCATCTCAGTTGCTGGTACAAACATGGGATGCTCTGTATTGTTTGTTGGAATATTTCTTATGTTTGGTTCCTCCCATAATGCAGCAGCTCTCTCTCCAGAATTAACAGAACTTGATGGGTTGCCAACTCTTGAATTGGAAGAACCATTCCAAGGGAAAGGATGCACATTTCTAGGCACAACGGGAGTAGTCCTCATATGAGGTTGAGTCGAGGGAGAACCGGAATTTCCTGCTATTGCTGCTGTTGATCTCAAGTCTAAACGATCACTAAATGGGGCAACTCTAGGGTGACTAGGAGAGCCAAAATTCGAATGCCCGGTAACTGTTGTTGATGATAAACTAAATGGTAAAGATTCTTGTTGGTTTCCCGGATTTCCTCTTCTTACACTTGAAGAAGGAAATGCATCACGAACAACCCCTCTCAAACCAAGCACAACTCTTGGATTCAGCTGATCAGGATGACTTACATTAAGAAAATTCCGAGAGGGTGTAGATAAACTCAAGCTGCTGGAAGCATCATTACCAGCAGGACCATCATGCCACGCCGCATTTTCAATTCGTTGAAAACAGCTTGAAGTACCAGCAGAATAAGACTGTCCAGAAGTACCTTCAAGGGCCTTCCTCTTGCAGGATAAACCACAACTGCCCAAAGAGGAGCCTGAACCATCATTAGTTTTGTCCCCCACATAATTAGAGCTTCCAGATGAACTACCAATATTATCAGAAGAAACAATTGCATTAGATATCTGTTCTCTTTCTAGTCCACCTGAGTTGTGGAGATTAGGACCTCCACCAATTCCCACACCTAAACCCCTGGTACCACTACTGCTAATAAATCCTTCATTTAGATTCACATTCTGCAGGACACGATTAGAGCTGGAACCCTGCATATATATGGGCCCACTTCTTACCTGATTGCCACTCTGTCCATTATTCAGTCTCCCAGGAAAAAAGACATTCGGTGGTTCGATCCGCATTTCTTCTGACCTTGGAGCAACCCCAACACGAGCACCGTGAGAAGAAGACCAACTGCATTCCATTTTTGTCCCATCATCATTAAGATGGTGATTTAGAACACCCTGCATCACCTGGTTTTGCAGTCTCAATCTTGAGCTCCGTTCACCAGAACTCCAGCCACTGAAGCTCTGAATATCGGGAATAATAGCATTTCCATGCATTGTCCCACCAGAAGATACTGTATAACTGGATAACTGAGTTTCCGCAGGATTCAGCATGTTAGGCAAAGAATTCGGTTGACTGATAGTGGTGTTATTCGGACTAGATCCCTCATCAATGTTAACAGTTTCAGGGAAGGTATCAATGGTGCCCCCCTGACCTTGCATCAGGGACAATATCTACCTAGAAATATGTCAGATATGCTAAATATTATTCCAAATTTCCAAAACAAATGCCTGTTCAATCTGCGTGCTTCTTAGGTCAAAATACAAAAGGGATACACAAGCACAGGCCAGTAGTTGAAATCTGAAAAGATAAGCACAACATCAAATTCTCATTTTAGTTATGAAAGGGAAAAAAGAAGATAGAGAGGGGTTATGCAATGCAGGAAGGAAATTATGTAAAGTATTTTAAAAAATCACAATATTCCAACCAACTTACAAAATAATTTCTGAAACTCCTGAAGTCTTTAGCTTTCCCAGGTAATATAGGATTGACCAGTTGCATTTGGTGTATCACATATTTCAGCAAGCGAAAGCCCCAGCCACTATCATCTTGAACCCAAAGAAACACCTCTCAGTGACAACAGATATTGATTTTTGACAGGAGGTGCAGGCAAGTAACTATATTTTACATAGCATGCAACGAGAAATCCCAATAGGTCAAGTAGATCAAAACAAAAACAGAGTACCAATAGTTTTAACTTCTAAAATGCCAGCTCAATTAGAGATCAATATATGAACTTGTATTGACAGGTTTATGGTTATAAGGAAAGCAGTTGATTGACTATTTCTTTATCCCAAGAGACTTTCCGCATGGAATGCACAAGGCAGTAATTGTCTCGTTCAGGGCATTCCAAGCATAAATAGCAGATGATCCACAAAACAAAAAAATTCTGGAAGTAGGAAGCAGCAAATAACAAGAGGATTAACCAAACCTAACAAGCTAAAAGAGAATGTTTACAAGAGATCGCCTCTGAGTCTATCAAGCATCACCTAATGACACATTGGTAAAGGATAAAATGTTCTTCCAATAAATCATTCAGTCTAAGATAATATGCCCAAGATGAGCAACTGTTATGTCTTTCCGCTCATAACCCGCTCCCTCATACATTATAATTGTTGTTTAATAGTATATTGAAACGACTAAAACCAGTTGAACAAGATATTTTTATTGTTTTTACTTTTCAGATCCTACTGTCTTGAGATTCAAGATACGTGAGGCTGTTACTTTGTTCTTTTATTGGCATAGTCCCTTTCAAGCAACATAGATAAACATGCAGGATACAAACTCAAACTCACATTTCAGAACCGCACACATGCAAATGCACCTAAGCATATGCAAAATCATGTTACCAGAACTGACCAGCTCAAATTTTGTGTAATTATTTTTAACACTAATTAACCTAGCCTTTTTATCAACTCATCTGCTGAACATTCATAATCAAGATGACTTCAAGACTCATAATTAGAAATCCAAAGCAACTTAGATACTTGGGAAAAAGATGGCAACTTTAAGCCAGATTAGCAAATCAATCTTTCTTCCAACATCTTTTCTGCCTTCCATTTTGACATGTAAAGATACTCTATTCGCAAGCACTCTATTCTTGTGCAAAATCACAAAGCTTTATAACTAGTCATTCACATTAAGTGCAGAATCAAGCAGTAAAATTCCAGTACCATGACCAAATGGAAACAAAGAAAGTGGCCATTGCCACAAACCTACAACTCAACCATAAATTCATCAATATTTTCATGCATTGTCATCCATAATCAGGTGCAAGCTAGAACTATAATAAAGAACCAATTGATGAACACTGAAAAAGTAGTATCATATACAAGCACAATGCTATTAAAATTATTACCACATATAATGTGCTCGATATTCAAGACTTAGCTTCGACTCGCAAACAGGGAAGAATTCAAGATCTTTTGGCAAGAACATTCAGACTATTGCACTAAATGCTTAGAAGCAATTCAAGCAGATCAAAAGGAATAAAATGCTGGGATTGCGGGAACCGGAGATCAAAATGTCACTTGTTCAAGCCTCAAATTACAAAATCAACAAAACGCAATTTGAAGAAGCAGGATCTCAACTGTCTAAGTATGCAAAATTAAGCATCTGCATCAAGAAAAAAAAATTAACAAACCCATTAAACTAAATGGAAACAACCCAAAAAAGGTCTTTTAAAAATCATCTAAGCTGCTTCTTGTACTAGTAAAGCTTTGATTTTTGGACAAAAATCCGACAAAACAAGAAAACCCAATACTATTTCTTCCTCTATTTAGTAAAAAAAAAAAACCAAATTTAGCATCAGATGATTAAATTGAAGAATGCTCATATCCAAATATTTGACCGAAAATTTTATTTTATGTGAAAAAAACGAAAATGAAAATAGCAAATGCTTGTAGATAAATACCCAATTGAAAAAAAAAAAAACTTTGCAAAGAACCCAACATGGGTCGACCTCGATCCCTCGTACACTTAAAAAAAAAAAATCGAATAAAAAATAAAGTAAACAACCATAAAATTAGCAAAAACAAAGAAATCCCAGGACAAAATAAAACGATTTAAAAGAAAAATATTTTAGAACATTAAAGCTAATATATTTTATTTAAAAAAATCGCATGGGTGAAGAGAAATACCTGAAAAAGAAAGCTGAGATGATGAAACGAAGAGCGATAAAAAATTGGGTTTTTGAGATTAAAAGGGTATTAAGAGAAACAGTTGTCAAGAGAGGAATCAGGGGCGTTTCTTCAATTCGTTTCATCCTGTTCTTTTTATTTTTCATTTTTTGGGGGAGTTTTTGGACTTTTCTCTTGCTCTCCTTATTTTGCAAGAGAAGTAGATCATCGGAATAGGACAAGACCAAAAGCCTGAAACAATGGATGAGAAACAGACAGAAAGAGAAAGAGAGTAAGTGTATTTTGTTTGTAATATTGGTTTTTTTTTTTATTGAATTTGTAATAAGATAAATTCTGAAAATAGGTACAACTTTTTGAATATAAATAAAAATAACAAAAAAACAAAGTTTTTGTCTTGAAGTCTTTAAGTGCTTGAGGCATTTTGTTGTAGACGTATCTTTCATGCATTACCATGGGCCCCATTACTCGTTTTTTTTTTTTATTGTTATTTTCTGTCTAATAAAAATGTAAATTAAAAAAAAAGTAGTTAAACCTCGGAGCCAGCCGGGGAAGGATTTGGATGAAGTTTAGCAAGCAAGGCAAACGCAATTACAGGCCATGGTTACTAAAATTGGGCCAAATAATTTTTATTTGGTTGCGGAGGCAAGCAAGGCTTCTAGAATGCCCAGAATGGTTTTTTGGGTTGTTCCAACACCCAACTTCATCATTTCAACATAATGGCCATTGTTATTGGGGCTTCAAAAGATGAATGTTCAGATGGAGGAGTTATTCGGCAGCACCTTTTTATTTTTAATAAAAAATTATAAAATAAAAACTACATATCTTAAAATTTAAATTTAAAAAATATTATTTATTAATGATGATAGAATGAATTAATAAAATTAAATTTCCAGTTGATTTATCTTTTAATTTTGATTTGGCTTGATTTGTAAAATATAAAAAAATTATATGTTTTTTTTTTAAATATCCTCAAATTTTTTATTAGCAATTATTTGATTTAAAGGATTTGATAAATGGTTTCACTTATTACAATAACTAATTTTAAGTTTTGGGGTCAAACAATCCAATTTTTTGTATTCTACCCATTTATGTTTATAAAATATGTCTACGCATTTTCTTCTTAATACTATCCCTCTTGCAACTTAATATATATATATATATATAAATCAAAATTTAAAAATAAATAAATAAATTATAAATATTATATAAAATTTAAAATATCATCTTAAATACTTTCAAAATTATTTATTGCCAAAATTTTTTTTAATAGTACTAGTGTACTACAAATTTCAAGGCACCTCCTCTCCGAAAAAACAATGAAGTAATTCAAAGCATCCTAATATTTTGTCGTAATAAACTGGAACTTAATCCTTTTGGGTTATAAGGAAAGCCCGTTGGATCATATAAATGACTAGCCCAAAAAATGAAATGTGAGCAGAAAAATGCAGTGGAAATGTGGAATTGAAAAAGTGGATGACCCACAAGCAGGTTCCAAAAATTACAAATTCCACACAAGCAAGCAGGTAGCCAGGTGTGTTCAAGTGTTGGGTCCTCCCTGATTCACGTACCCAACACTCTCTGACACAAACCTCGATTCCCAAGAAGACCAATTCCTCATTCCCCGACAAAAAGGCACGTTATGGATCCCCGGAAATTGTCAGCTTTACTCTCTTCCCTTGTCTCTCAACTCCTTTTATTGCTTCTCCTTCTCTTCAATTCTTACAATTCCAATAATTTCGTTTCCGATGGCAGCGTCTTTTCCATCCTCAACTATTTGCTGTCATCGCAAGAAATCGCCGCTAATCTTTCCTTCGTTTCTGTTTCCAGGAAAAGGAAGAGAACCCGTTGTCCAGAATCTGAATCTGAACCCATCGGTGAAGACGCGGGCCGTGAACTTTTACATCGACTCGACGATGACCGAGTCAGACTCTGCTTGACTCGGAATCCTGACTCGTTCAAAGCCTGCTTTAGAATGAGATCTTCTACTTTTGAGTGGCTCGCTGGGTTGCTCGAGCCGCTGCTAGAGTGCCGTGACCCGGTTGGCTCACCGTTGAATCTATCGGCTGAGTTAAGGCTTGGTATTGGTTTATTCAGATTAGCCACCGGTTCAAGTTACCCTGAAATCGCTCAACGATTTGGGGTTTCCGAGTCTGTGACTCGTTTCTGTGCTAAACATTTGTGCCGCGTTCTTTGCACCAATTTCCGATTTTGGGTTGCATTTCCTAGTCCAGAGGAACTAAAGTCTGTATCTTCATCTTTTGAACAATTTACGGGGTTGCCAAATTGTTGCGGCGTTATTTCTTGCAATAGATTCAATATTATAAATGAAAACAATGGAAGCATTGATAGCATTGCTGTTCAGTTAGTGGTGGATTCATCATCAAGAATTTTGAGCATTGTTGCTGGCTTTAAGGGAGATAAGGGTGATTCTCTGGTCCTTAAATCTTCAACTCTGTATAAAGATATTGAGAAAGGGAGGTTACTCAATTCAAGCCCAGTTATGGTTAATGGAGTGGCTATAAGTCAATATTTGGTTGGCGATGGAGGGTACCCTTTGCTTCCGTGGTTAATGGTACCTTTCGTTGATGTGGTTCCAGGGTCAAGCGAAATGAAGTTCAATGTGGCACTTAGTCCAATGCATGTTTCAGCATTGAAAACTTTTGCTAGTTTGAGGAATTGGGGAATTTTGAATCAACCAATGCAAGAAGAACTTAAGACTGCGGTCGCAATTATTGGGGCTTGTTCAATTCTGCATAATGTTTTGCTTATGAGAGAGGATGATTCTGCATTGTGTGAATGGATGGGAGGTTACTTAGTGCATGATCAGAGATCTCAGTACTATGAGGAAGCTAGCTTAGATGAGAATTCAATTAGGAAAGAGGCTTCTGTTATTCGAGATGCATTGGCAACAGAAGCTAGAGAAGCTCATGTGTCAAGTTTGGGAGGCGATCCAAGAAGTTCAGTATAATTGTAGCTAAACTAGATTGCTTGATTCAGTTTCAGAGTCTAAATATTACCGGATTGTGACCATTCATGATTCAACAATTTTGAAATAAGTGATTGACAATTCTTTTGCTCATTTGAAACGAAAATAATTCCACCTGGATTAGGCATTTTTTCACCCTGGCATCACACATTCATGACAGCAAGGAACTCTTTCCCTTTGTCTCCCTTTTTTTTTTTTTTTGGTCTACCAATTGATTTTTGAAGATGAATCTATTTCAGCATCCTCCGTAGATATCAATGGAAAATGTAAGGATTCTTCTGTCTGATTGTAGTAGTATTTATTGGATGGTAACTATTTTTAATTCAATAGAAAGCATGTTCTTTGTTTTCTAGTGCAACAAGTCTATTACTTTTTATTGAGAATTGGAATGGTAGATTATAAACCACTTATTGCAAAGAGACATGGTTCCTTGTAAAGACAAACTGCTCAAAAATAAATAAAGGAAATTACCGAAGATTGTAATCGTTGACGATGTATTGTTCTAAGCAACAACATGATGCGCTGTGACAATGATTTAACTGAAATTATGACATAAGATGGAGAGAATTTGGCATGGTTAACTCATTCTGTTGCAGTGCTTGTTAAATTTGTCATGGTTTTAACAAGTAGTGTGTTTTTATCTTTGGCCAAAAAAAAAAAAAAAACTCATTATATTGCAGTTAGATTTCTCTATTTCGAGTTCCTTCATATTTTAATTATTACTTTTTTTCCAAGATATAGATGGGTGATCAAGTTGGTTTATGATTTAAAACGACAGAAAATACAGTAGGTGTGCTCGGACACACAACCCGACGGAAATGTAGCTTCCAATGCCTGTAGTCCTTGACCATTGCAAGGCTTTATCTGCTATTCACAAACCTCATGCAGAAAAGTGCTTTGTTCTTTACTACAATTCAGTTTGGGGTTGAATACATGCAGAAAAGTATTATTGGAGATTTTTTGCTTAAAAATATCATATAGTATTTGAATTTTTTTCAGTTGTAACAAACGACTGAACATCCACAATAAGTATGATGACCCTACACTCCTTGATTAAAATCCTGTAGGGAACTCATCTAATGCTAGGAGTAGGGTATTGCGGCTATTAAATATGTGATTTGTCTTATTATGTATCTTCAGCTTATTTCATTTCTGAATCCAATTTCACAAACTTTCATTCTTCATTCAATTGTTGGTGACCTGGAGTAATCATAAGGATTGTCTTACAGATCAGACTTCTTCTCCTTCTCTGGAATACCAAGGCAATTGTGTGAACTGTCTGTTGACAGAAAGAGATATCTGTTTCTGAAACACTGTTGCTGCATTCTACCTATACCCCGAACTGTACTTATTTTTTAACCTGGAGGAGGAAAGGATGGATGATATAATGCTTAATCTGTATTTGTAAGTGATATAATCTTCCTACAAATGGAACCAACAATCTCAGAAAAGCACTGTAGAAAGAAATGTCCATTGCCAAAATCTCACATCCGAAGTCTAAAAACCAGGATTCTTCATGATTCCCTTACCAATCAATCAAAATCTCATAGATTTCCCTATACTGAAAATAAAGTTTGAAATTGAAACATAGCAAGAAAAAGCAGTGTATTTTATGTTATCAGACTGCAGCTAGAAGATTTCTGATTTTGGGTGATCAAATTATGATACAAGAGTAAAAACACTGGTGAAATAAAGGAGCCTTACAGTCTTGTGGCTTGAAATTTGTGGCCTTTGTGTCAAGGGACACCAGGAACAACAGAGCTGGAAAGACTTATCCAAACAATTCTAATAATCTGGTGTCTGGAAATGAATTAATAACCAAAAACCTTACAAGAACTTTCAACTTTGCTCTTTCATATGCTTAAACTGCAGCTTTCTTTTGAGAACTCTCCATACACTACAAGAAAATGGCGTATTAGCGGTAATTTTGTAGCGGCATTTCACTTATAAACACCGTTAACTTCCGTATTTTTATAAAACTTAAGACATTTATTATAAAAATGTCACTAAATATTCAAATAGCAGCGTTGTTACTTATAAACGCTACTAAAGACAAAAATTAGCAGCGTTAAAACGCTTTGAATAATCATTTCTAAAAAATTGGAGTGATTATTAAAGGCCTTTTTTTACAAAAAATGACATGAATAATCTTCTCATAAAAAATAAAAGCAATTATTGATGGCGTTTTTTTGTAGAAAATGCCTTCAATAATTTTCTTAAAAAATTGTAGAGGATTATTAAAAGTGTTTTTGATAAAAAAACACCTTCAATAATCTTTTCATTTTTTATGAGCAGATTATTCAAGACGTTTTTTGCT